AAGAGCAGAGAGTGCTTTTAACACAAGCCAACACTTTGATTTTTGTGGAAGGAAATCAGCTTCCTCTTTGATTTTTAAAGATTTTATTTGAGAAGAGTTATTATTCTCTTTTTATATGTATAGGTGTTTTGTCTGTATGTCTGTTTCGGCCAGAATATGGCATCAGATCTCCTAAAACCAGAGTTTCAGAAGGTTGTGAGCTGCCGTGTGGGTGCTGGGAACTGGACCCAGGTCCTCTGGAAGAACAGTCAGTGCTCCTAACCACTCAGATATCTTTCTGACCCTGATTAAAAAGTACTTTTTACGTTTATTTCTTTTATGTGTGAGTGTTTTGCATGCAGGTATGTTTGTGAGCCTTGTGCCCGTTGTTCATGGAGCTCAAAGGAGGGTGTGAGATCCCCTGGAACTGAGTTACAGACAGTGGTCAGCTGCCATGTGGGGCTGGAACTCAGGCCTGGGTCTTCTGCAAGAACAAATGCTCCTAACCACTCTGAGCCTCTCCAGCCCACAGCCCTGGATTTTTTTTTAAATAGCTTTTGTTTTTTTATTATGTATACAATATTCTGTCTGTGTGTATGTTTGCAGGCCAGAAGAAGGCAACAGACATCATTATAGATGGTTGTGAGCCACCATGTGGTTGCCGGGAATTGAACTCAGGACCTTTGGAAGAGCAGGCAATGCTCTTAACCACTGAGCCATCTCTCCAGCCCAGCCCTGGATTTTTAAACGTAAGCATTCAGTTATAAACTTCCTTCTTAGCTGCAACCAAGAATTGAGCTTTTACTATCATTTGTATCCAGTTTATGGTCTCCTTTCTTCAATGGCCTATTAATCACTCAGGTGTGCTGTTCAATTCCTCTGTATAATTTCTTTTGCTATTGTTTTCTAGTTTTATCCCCCTATGATTTGATGCCAGATCTTTCTCCGCATACTGCATCCCACCCAGACGGGCCTCTTTCTCCGCATACTGCATCCCACCCAGCTGTACCTCTTTGTCTCCCTTTCCCAGTTCCTATGGTGTACACTGCCTGAGTTTCCTCACTCTCTGACTTCCTGTTGCTAATTAGACACATATGCAGAAGGCTGCAGAGAGAAGGTGTCTGGTCTTTACCCCCAAATGCGCTAAGTCATGGCTGGACCATGGTTGCATCTTCTTCAAAGCTAGAGCTTCCCTTGCAGCATCCTTACAGTTACTGATACTGTCTGTCATTGAGCTCCTTGCCAGCTCCCTACCAACCTTTGTTACCTCTCTCAGGCCACATCTTTGCAGACCTCTATCTGACCCTCTTTAATTATTCCTTTGAGAATCTACTTGCGGAGAGAGGTGTCCCTGTGGAGAGGGGTGTCCCTGTGGAGAGAGGTGTCCCTGTGGAGAGAGGTGTCCCTGTGGAGAGGGTGTCCCTGTGGAGAGGGGTGTCCCTGTGGAGAGGGGTGTCCCTGTGGAGAGGGGTGTCCCTGTGGAGAGGGGACATGGGCTATAATCTCTCAGACCTTCCCATTCACACTTATCACCAGGCACCTTGCTCAGTGAGGTTCTAGCTCAGCAGTTCTGGAGAAGGCCCAAATTCTCTATTTCTAGCATGTTCTCCAAATTCCTCTGTGGTTGGCATGAGGAAGATGGACAGACTATAGAAGGGGGAGGGGGAAAGAGCTCTGTAGCCTCCATCCTGCAGAAGGAGGTAACACAGCTGAGATCAGAGGTTAGAGAGAGTCACTGTCAACATTGCAAGCCCTAAGATACTGCTTTCAAGATTATTAGTGAATACTTCAAACAACAGTCACGGTGTGGTAGGGGAGATGGCTCAGGGCGTGACGCACTTACAGTGTGAGACCTGGGGTTGATCCCCAGGACCCACATAAACCTACAGGAGTGCACGTTTGTGTCCTCAGTGCTCCTGCTGAGAGATGTGAGCCAGAGATCAAGTCCCTGGAAGCTCACAGAGCAGCCGGCCTGGCTGTGCAGAGGTACACAACGGGACACTCTGTCTCAAACAATGCGGAAGGTGAGGGCCAACACCTAAGAAGGCCCTCGGACCTACACAGTCAGTCACACAGACACCAGATATAGACACACCCACACAGACGCTCACACACAGACACACCCACACAGACGCTCACAGACACACACAGAGAGACACAGAGATATAGACACACCCACACAGACGCTCACACACAGACATACACAGACACACAGTCAGACACAGAGATATAGACACACTCACACAGACACTCACATACAGGCGCTCACACGCAGAAACACACAGACACGCAGAAACACACAGACACGCATAAGAACATACAGACACACAGACTTGAATTTGTGCATACACACTGTATACACAAATAAATTCTTATAAAAAATGGTACAATAATGTAGAAATTAAATACATTTATCAAGTGTTTGTGGGAAATAACTGTTTATTTTAAATATATCAAAAGCTTTATATTAAGGAAACCCTTCTCCCTCCCCATTTTCACAAGCATTTACCATTCTCAAAGCATTTGCGGTGACAGCTTGGGTTCCTAGCAAGCCAGTCACTCATGCCCTTCTGACATGCAGGCTCATGTCCTTTCATCTTTAGATGACAGCAAGTCAGTAAAATTTATGAGCTAATGCGTTGAGCTTACTTTACAGTCCATGTCTACAAAGAATGCATTGGCACAGGTTAATAATTTACAATAAACTTATTGTATTAATACCATCTACTTACATGTTGATGTAAATTCAGTGTTCTGGGTTAATTTTCATTACTGACAGAATCCCCATGTGGAGGCAGAGGTTATTTTACATAACTAGTAATAAAAATAGAAGTGCCACTTCACAAGAGATTAGAATCGAATTTAAAAATATACAGTCTCTGGGTTTACTCGTCGAGTTCTTCTTTGGCTACATACAGGAAGCATCTTCTCCGTTTCCCCTGCAGCAGACGCACTCCAGCAGGCTCCCTCAGGCCTTCGTTTAACCTAGTTATGGTCAGTGGGATTTTATATGGTGTTCTGTGCCATTTCGTAGCTACTGATCCTACCATTTCCAGCATCAAACACGTGGCAGCGCAGAAAGTACACCGTGAGATCTTTTCTCTTCCTTTGGTAAACTCCCATCACCAGCAAATTTGTTTTTGTGGTACCAGAGTGTTGGGGGTATTGCTTTAAGGTGTGTGACTTTTGTTTACGCTGCATTTGTTCAACTCTGTGAAGCTTTGATTCTTTGCCTGTCTAAAACACCTGATGGCTCTAATAAAGAGCTGAAGGGCCAATAGTGAGGCAGGAGCAGGGACACGTGGGGCTGGCAGGCAAAGAGTATAAATAGGGGGAAAAGCAAGGGAGAGGAGGAGCAAGAGAACAAGGAGAGGAGGATGTCAGGGGCCAGCCACCCAGCCAGCTATGGAGTAAGAGTGAAAGATTTACAGAAGAGAAAGATAAAAGCCCAGAGGCAGAAGGTAGATGAGATAAATTAAGAAAAGCTGGCTGGAAACAAGTCAACCTAAGGCCGGGCATTCGTAAGTAATAATAAGCCTATGTGTGTGATTTATTTGGGAACTGGGTGGTGGTGCCCCCCAAAAAGCCAAAAGAGTGAAACATCATACAACACCAGAGATTGAACCAAGGACCTCACACCTGCCAGACAGTGCCCTGTCACTAAGCCACATCCCCACTAAGCCACCTCCTTTTCAACTGTAAAACCACCACCACCAAAGACGTGTGCCAGGATTTCTTGTGCCATACAAAAATAGACACTCCCATGGTGTCTCAGAATAAATGTATGGCCGCCATCACTTTGACACCTTCAGGAAGAATTCAGATAGAAAAACATGGTGTGCTTACTTCTGGGCTAATACCCTGGAGACAGATGGAGGTGACACCTTATAAGTCGCTGTCGAGATGCTGAGGTCGAGCTAGACAGGGCACATGAGGTGCTCACCTCCCCGTCTCCAGGCCTTCCTGGGTTCCAAGCTCGTCACAGATGACAGAAGCCAACAGCTCTTAGTATGAATGCACATCCGAGCCACTGAAGAGTCTGAGCTCAGAGCTGGCTCCGTCTCAGGCTTCCTGAGTCTGGGGTGAGACTAAAGAATTTACATCTCACCATGCACCATCTCGTGGTGGCGCACGCCTTTAATCCCAGCACGCGGGCTGCAGAGGCAGGCAGATCTCTTCAGTTCGAGGCCAGCCTGGTCTACAGGGAGAGTTCCAGGACAGGCTCCAAAGCTGCAGAGAAACCCTGTCTGGAAAACCAAAACAAAACAACCCTCCACGCCAAAAGAAAAGAATGTATGTCTCCAACCAATCACTTGGTTATGCGTTGCTGGTCTGAGAAACATCCTTGTAGAAACCACACCTGGTGAGATGCTACTCGATGGTCAGTGTGCCAGGAAATGGCTGGGCTAGGTCAACCCAGGGCGATCCATGTCCATGTCCATTTCTTCTCTGCCGAGCAGGCACCCGTATCTGATGTGCCAGTCTTTGCACTTTGTCAAGACATTTCCCCCCTTCCACATCGCTCCCTCTTACTGGAGTTCAGAGAAACAGTTAATCCCGAGAGAGGAGACTGAGAGCCGGGCTTTGTCATCAGCCCAGGCAGCAATCCCAGGCACTTGTAGGCACAGACCAGACAGGGACACCGGATGTTGTCCTCACTGGCACTAAGGTCACCTTGTCCTTGAAGGGAAACAGTGGGCTGTCCCACAACTGCGGGACCAGGGGTGGGCATGTGCCTGTTTGGTCCTCATGCCCCAAGGCAAAATGTCAGTGTTAAATTCTCTCCAACTTCAACAAACAAAAAAAGGAACTCCAAAGTTTACAATGTATGTTCTGGCTCGCGGCTCATTTGTCCTCGGCCCCATCACACTGAAAGGCAACAGCATGACCCTTCCCTGTCCCGGTCCACAGAAGGACGTCTGTTTCCTAACACGGTGTCCGGATGTGCAGCTCATCGAAACTCTTTCCTCTATTTCAGGGCATGGAGTCTGTGACTCCCTAAAGATGCAAAGACATTAGTATGATAGAAACAAAAGGTGATTTAAATAACAACCCAACCTTACATTGGAACAGGGCCAAAGCAGAGGTCTGTGATTTGGGCAGTGAATTCCAGGGAGCACGGTTGAGGAGGACGCCACCAATTCCAGGGAGCACGGTTGAGGAGGACTCCACCAGACCCTTTCCGCTCTCTAGGTGTCTCCAGAGACACTTCTCAGCGTATAGAAGGAAGACTTAAACTTTAGAGGGTGAACCTTTTCCACCTTCGATCCTGAGAATTATCAGTGTGATGCTTCACAGTTAGCCTTCCTCCGGGCGGCTTCGTGAGAAGCCGTGCTGACAGAGGCTAGACCTTCTCCATCTCGATCTGCTGGTGGTAGTGTCTAGCCTGCCGCTGTCCTACGTTCAGCTTGTATACAGAGCTCTTGTGTTGGTACCTGCGGTAGCCCCACACAGCCCCCACCACCGCCAGGAGCAAAAGTAGGCACAGGACAGTGACAATGATGGCGATCACTGGGCCTCTCCTTAAGTTGGGACACTCGTTCCCCACACATGGTGCCAAGGTTGGAAGAAACTTCTCATTCGCACCAGGCCCAGGACCCTCCTGTCCCAAGAAGTCCTCAGACAGTAGGTATGGGAAGTTGTCCTGAACCTCAGGAGCTGTGACCTCTGCTGGAGGCTGGGTGGCCTCCACACTAACCGAGGGGTTTAGTTTAAGTGTATGTTGCAGAGTTGTTGGTACCGTCTCTTGGGTGGAGGTGGTGAGTTCATAGGGTAAGGTGGCCATGGGTGACCGCTCTGTGGTGACTCTCCGAGGTATAGTTGATTGGTACTTGGTCAAGTCACCATCGCCAGTGTGGGGACCCTCAGTCTCAGTCACATCCATGGGTCCTGGAACCAGGGCCTCTACATCCAGCATTTGAGACGGAACAATCGAACTGTGTATCACAGACTCGCTTGTGGTGACGGTGGCATTCTTCTGCACCTTAACTTTCCCAGTAGGCTGGTCGGGGGTCATGAGAACACTTTCGTCCAGTCCCACTGACCCACCATCCTCCCGCTCTGCCTCCACCTTCCTCCAGGCCCCATCGGTCACAGGGTAACCATCTAACCAAGAGTCATCACTGCTGCTCACCACCGGGCCCTCTGCTTTGCTGTCGTTCCGAGCCACAAACGGCTCCGAGGGGCTGTAGGTGGTAGCATAGACCAGCCTGGTTTCAGACTCCCCTGGGACCAGTTTTCCTTCGCTGTGATTTTCTCCAGCAGGAAGTGGATCTTTGGTCTCATCCTCCACCTCCTTTTCCAGCTCTGACTTGTGGAACGTCTCAGCCGGAAACCAGAGTGAGTACTTCCTGTTTAGGCGGGATCTGGGCCAGTCTGTGTGGACCCTGCTCCCAGCGCCGGGCAAGCCTGTGGTTGGCGCAAAGGCTTTTTCCTGGGCTATGTTTTCTTTAGACACAGAGGTGAAGACCAGACGGTCTTGTTTTGGTGTCTCTTCAGAGGCGTCCTCCTGAGCCTTTTCCTCGTCTCCCTCTGCCCGGGAGTCTTCCATGAGTTCCCTGAGTGACACAGATCTGTCATCTGGGAAATTGTCTTCATAGTCAATGTGGGCCTCGGCCTCATCTGAAGGGAAAGAGGAGAAACCTCATTAGATCTAAAGACATGGAATTAATGTGGAAAACCTGAAGGGGAAAAGAACACGGAGACTGGGAGATAAACAGTACCGGTGTTGCTCAAGAACCATAGCCACCCCGGAAGAAGGCACATTTAGGTAATTATAACTAAAAGATGAGCTTACCATGGGCAGTGGGGCGCTATGAAATATTAAAAAAATCAAACATATTTGTGTATACTAGAAACCATCATTTTAAAGGGATTTTCAGGAAACTAATAGTTTTAAGGAATGGTAGCATATGCCAGCAATTCCGACATTTGTAATAAGGAAGCAGAAGGGCCATGAGTCTGAGACTAAGCCATGCAGTGAGACCCTGTTTAAAAAGTGTGTGTGTGGCGGGTGACGGGGAGTGGGGGGGAGTTGCGAGACAGGGTAGCTCAATTAGGAGTGTGTTTGCTAGCATGCACAGTCTAGTTTGTTTTCTATACCTGTGATAAATACCACGACTAAATGGAATTTGGTCAGCTTATACTCTGCGTCACACTCCATCCTTGAAGGAAATCAGGTCAGAAACTGAAGCAGAACCGTGGGAGAACACTGCTTCTCAGCACGCTCTTCGGGCTGTGCTCAGCTAACTTCTCCCTCCCTCTCCCTCTCAGAAACCCTGGCTGACCTGGGGCTCACCATGTAGATGGGGCTTGCTTCCAACCCAAATTTACCTGCCTCTGTCTCCTGAGTTCAGCTAACTTTCTTATACAGCTCAGGCCCACAATGGGCTGGGCCCTCCTAAATATCCATCAGTCTAGACAGTGACCCACATATGCCCATAGGCCAACCTGCTCAAGGCAATTCGCTCTTCCCGGGTGACTCAAAGTTGTATCAAGCCAACTACAAACAGTGACCAGTACAGGGCACAAGGTCCTGGGTTTGCTCCCTACCACCACATAAACCAGATGTGACCATGCCTTCCTGCTATCCCAGCTCTCAAGGGGTGGAGGCAGGAGGATCAGAAAGCCAAGGCCATCCTCAGCTACATAGGGAGTTTGAGGTCAGTCTGGGATGTATGGGACTCTGCCTCAAACACATGTGTGCACACGAGTACATGCACGCACACGCACAGTCACACACACATACTATAAATTAATAAAATGTAAAAATATTGAATGAATGAAATTAAAAAAGAGGTCAGGAACACACATGTCTAGCCTGAGCACTAGAGGTTAGGGACAGGACAATTCCCCAAGATTTACTGTCCAGCTAGACTAGCCAAAAACAGAACTTAAGATACAATGAGAGACTGTCTCAAAACAAAACAAGGGGAAAGGAGCTGGGGAGATGGTTCCATGGGCAAATGTGCTTGCCATGTAAGTATAAGGATATGAGTTCAAATTCCCAGAACCCACATAAGGCCCAGTGGGTATCATAAGCCTGTGACATCTCAGTGCTCCTACAAGGAGAGGCACACAGGATGTCCAAGGCTCACTGGCCTACTGGTCTTGTGTATTCAGTAGGAAAATGAACCTGTCTCAGAGTGAAGGACCAGAACCTGAGCTTGCTCCTTATCATCCTTCTAGGTCCGCTTTGACCCAGCTCCGTCACTTAGTGAACTTAAGGGAAGGTCAACTGCCTGTCTTGCAGTCTGTCATGTTCAGGTTCAAAGCTTTTGTATGTGAGGTCTTACTCATCATGCTAAATAAACAGCGGGGGTTCGTTTACAAACTGTACTTTAAGACAAAACATACAAGATAAATGACAAAACTTTTTTCTAAAATTTATATGAAACTGATCAGTTGTTCAGGATCCAGGCGGAGATTTACAAAGGCCTCTGTGACGTCTCGGGCCTCAGGAATAAAGAGGGTAGGTTTGCCTGAGTTCACTGATCGGCCTTGATGGAAAGAGTGCCGCTGCATGTGCTCCCCACTCTTCCCTTTGTCTTTTTGTCTTTTTCTAAAAGTCGGGGTCTCTCCATGTAGCCCTGGCTGAAACTCAGTAGACTGGGTTGACCTTGAACTCAGAGGTTCATCTGTCCCTTCCTCCCTAGGGCATTATGTATCCATCCCAGCAAGTAGCTGAGTATGATCTTAAACTTCTCCCCAGAGCCACTTACCTCCACATCTTTAGTGCTGAGATTGTAATTACTAGACACTTTACATAGTTCTAAATGATTATTGTTTCTTATTAAATTTTTATTATGTATTATATATGTATATATATGTATAGGTGTTTTGCCTATGTGTGTGTACACTATGTTTGTCCTGCTCACAGAAGGCAGAAGAGGGCATTGAAATCCCTAAAACTGGAGTTACAGATGGTTGTGAACCACCACATCATTCATTCATTCATTCATTCATGCCCTAGCAATGCTTAAGCAGGCATGGGCGGCCCATTTATGGCAGTTCTCCAGTTATTCCTATCCTGGGCAGTGCTAGATGTTTGTGTTATTGTCATACCCAAGGTTCTATAGTCTTCCTTTATGCTGTCTATCCAGCATTTTGGGGCCTTCCTTTTTGCCTTACCCCATGCACTCCTCCAAACAGTGCTATCTTTGGGTATCTGCCAATCATTCATTCTCATAACATGACCAAAGTATCTCAAACACCATTGCTGTCATGAAACCCAATATGGAACGGCCATGTGGGTGCTGGGATCTGAACTCAGGTCCTCTAGAATAGCAGCCGTTGCTCTTAACCACTGAGCCATCTCTCCAGTTCCCCGATTATTGATTGAGCCACGTTTTGATGAGAGGGTAGTTTACTATGCAGAAAATGCTAAGACATGACAATGGACTGTTTGAAGGAGGGAATCCAGGTACTGAAATTGTAGGATAGGATAAGAAGACCTATTGCAAGTATTTTTAAAAATATCTATCTATCTATCTATCTATCTATCTATCTATCTATCTATCTATCTATCT